AAAAAAAAAAAAATGCCGCGGGGGTTTTGATAACAATTGTATTGAATCTGTAGATTGCTTTAGGTAGTATTGACATCTTAACAATATGAAGTCTTCCGATGCACGAACAGAGGAAGTTTTTCCATTTTTTATGTCTTCTTTCATTTCTTTCAGCAAAAACATTTTACACGTTTTGGTGTACAAGTCTTTCATCCCCATGTGAGAATTTACTCCGAAGCATTTTATACTATTTGATGTTAGTGTAAGTGGAATTATTCGCTAATCCCTTTCGAACTGGTCACCACTCGCTTATAGAAATGCACTTGATTTTTGAATGTTGATCTTTTTTTTTTTCCAAGATTTTCTTTAAATTCAAGTTAGTGAACATCTAGTGCAGTCTTGGCTTCAGGAGTAGAACCCAGGGATTCATCTCTTACATATGACACCCAGTGCTCGTCCCAAAAAGTTACCTCCTTACTGTCCATCACTCATTGAGCCCATCTCCCCAACCACCTCCCCTACAGCCACCCTCGGTTTGTTCTCTGTATTTAAGAGTGTCTTGTGGTTTGCCTCCCTGTTTTTATCTCATTTTTCCTTTCCTTCCCCTATGTTCATCTGCTGAGTTTCTCAGATTCCACATATGAGTGCACTCATTTGGTATCGGTCTTTGTCTGACTTATTCAGCTTGGCATTACATCCTCTAGTTCCATCCGCGTTGTTCCAAGTGGCAAGATTTCGTGCTTTTTCTCGCTGCATAGTATTCCATTGCATATACATACTACATCTTCTTTATCCATTCCTCAGTTGATGGACATTTGGGCTCTTTCCATGATTTGGCTATTGTTGATAGCGCTGCTATAAACATTGGAGTTCATGTGCCCCTTCAAATCAGCATTTTTGTATCCTTTGGACAAATATATAGTAGTGCAACTGCTGGCTCATAGGGTAGTTCTATGTTTAATTTTTTTTTTTTATTTTTAATGTTTGTTTTCGAGAGAGAGAGTGAGCTTGAGCCAGGGGAGGGGCAGACAGAGGGAGACACAGAATCTGAAGCAGGCTCCAGGCTCCGAGCTGTCAGCACAGAACCCGACACGGGGCTCGAACTCACGAGCTGTGAGGTCATGACCTGAGCCGAAGTTGGACACTCAACCAACTGAGCCGCCCAGGCGCCCCTCTATGTTTAATTTTTTGAGGAACCTCCATACTGTTTGCCATGACGGCTGCATCAGTTTGCATTCCCACAAACAGTCCAAGTGTTCCTCTGTGTTGTTTTCCTATTTGCATTTTATTTATCTCTACACTAGTGTTTTCTATTTCCTTCATTCTGCTACCTTCAGGTTTATTTTTCCTCTTCTTTTTCTGATTTCTCAAGGTCCATAGTTGTTAACTGAATTGTGATCTTTCCTCTCTTTGAATGTAGGCATTACGGCCATAAATTTCCCTCTAGAGCTGCTTTCACTGCAGATTGTAGGCTTTGGCAAGTTGTGTTTCCATTTTCATTCATCTCAAGGTGTTCTCTAAATTCCCTTGTGATTCCTTTTTGCTTAATTTTTGCTTTTTTTAAGAATGAGTTCTTTTATTGCTATAAATTTGAGAATATACTATTTCTTGTTCTGTTGTTGATTTCTAGTTTTATTTCACAAACTGTTTCACCAGTTCAGTGCTTGAAAAGTCCTTCTTCCAGATTCCAGTAAATTGCCTGCTTCTCAGCCTGTGTAGCAATGGCTCATACAAAAGTTTTTTTACAGTAACTGGTTTCTGTAATAGTCTGGGGATACATATGTGGTAGACAGAACAATGTCCCCCACAAAGAAGCCCGTTTTATAACGCCTAGACCTGTGAATAGTTTTCTCTTATATGCCAAAAAAGATTTTGCAGAAGTGATTAACTGGAGACTATTAAGTGGGGAGATTATCCGAGATTATCAAAGTGGCCCAAATATATTCACAAGAGTCCTTATAAGAATGAGGTAGGGAAGTCAAAATTAAAGAAGCACAGGTGACAAGACAGGCAAGAATTTGGAGTGACTGGAAGATGTGAAACCATGAGAAAAGGATTGTGGGCAGCTTCTAGAATTTGGAAAGACAAAAACCCTAACTCCAGAAGAAATGCAGCTCAGCTGACCCTTGATTTTAACTCAGCAACACCAATTTTGGACTTCTGACCTCAAGAATTATAAGATAATAAACTTCTGTAGGTTTTGCCATTAAGTTTTAAATAATTCGTTATGGAGCACATTGGTGGTTCAGTAGGTTAAACATCCAACTTCGGCTCAGGTCATGATTTCACGGTTTGTGAGTTTGAGCCCCACGTTGGACTCTGTGCTGACAGCTCAGAGCCTGAAGCCTGCTTCAGATTCTGTCTCCCTCGCTCTCTGCCCCTCCCCTGCTCGCGCTCTGTCTCTCTCTCAAAAATAAATAAACATTAAAAACCTAAAAAAATAATTTGTTGTAATAGCATTCAGAAACTAAAATAATATGATTATGATTCAGCAAAGTCACAGGGTACAAAATCAATGTACAGAAATTGGCTGCATTTTTATACACCAATAATGAAGCAACAGAAAGAGAAATACAGAAACTGATCCCATTTACAATTTCACCAAGAACCATAAAACACCTAGGAATAAACCTAACCAAAGATGTAAAAGATCTGTATGCTGAAAACTGTAGAAATCTTATGAAGGAAATTGAAGAAGACACAAAGTAATGGAAAACCATTTTGTGCTCACGGATTGGAAGAATAAATATTGTTAAAATGTTAATACTACCCAAAGCAATCTACACATTCAATGCAATCCCAATCAAAATTGCACTGGCATTCTTCTCTAAGCTAGAACAAACAATCCTACAATTTGTATCGAACTGCAAAAGACCCCAAATAGCAAAAGTAATATTGAAGAAGAAATCCAAAGCAGGAGGCAACACACTCCCAGACTTTAGCCTCTACTACAAAGCTGTAATCATCAAGACAGTAGGGTATTGGCACAAAACAGACACACAGACAAATGGAATAGAATAGAGAACCCAGAACTGGACCACAAATGTATGCCCAACTAATCTTTGACAAAGCAGGAAAGAGCATCCAATGAAAAAGACAGTCTCTTTAACAAATGGTGCTGGGAGAACTGGACAGCAACATGCAGAAGAAGGAAACTAGACCACTTTTTTACACCATGCACTAAAATAAACTCAAAATGGATGAAACCCCTGAATATGAGACAGGAAACCATCAAAACCCTAGAGCAGAAAGCAGGCAACAACCTCTTTGACCTCAGCCGCAGCAATTTCTTATTCAACACATCTCCAAAGGCAAGGGAGTTTAAAGCAAAAATGAACTATTGGGACCTCATCAAGATAAAAAGCTTCTGCACTGCAAAGGAAACAATCATAAAACTAAAAGCAACCGACAGAATGGGAGAAGATATTTGCAAATGACATATTAGATAAAGGGCTGGTATCCAAAATGTATAAAGAACTCAACAAACTCCACACCCAAAAAACAAATAATCCAGTGAAGAAATGGGCAGAAGACATGAATAGACACTTTTCCAAAGAAGACATCCAGATGGCCAACAGATACATGAAAAGAAGCTCAACATCACTTCTCATCAGGGAAATACAAATCAAAGCCACACTGAGATACCACCCCACACCGGTCAGAGTGGCTAAAATGAACAAATCAGGAAACTACAGATGCTGGCGAGGATGTGAAGAAACGGGAACCCTCTTGCAATGTTGGTGGGAATGCAAACTGGTGCAGCCGCTCTGGAAAACAGTATGAAGGTTCCTCAAAAAATTAAAAATAGGACTACCCTATGACCCAGCATACAGGGATTGTATTTACCCAAGGGATACAGGAGTGCTGATGCATAGGGGCACATGTACCCCAATGTTTATAGCAGCATTTTCAACAATAGCCAAAGTATGGAAAGAGCCTAAATGTCCATCAACTGATGAATGGATAAAGAAGATGTGGCTTCTACATACAATGTAGTACTACTTGGCAATGAGAAAATGAAATCTGGCCATTTGCAGCAACGTGGATAGAATTGGAAGGTATTATGCTGAGTGAAATAAGTCAGTCAGAGAAAGACAGATATCATATATTTTCACTCATATGTGGATCTTGAGAAACTTAACAGAAGACCATGGGGGAAGGAAGGGGGGAAAATAGTTACAAACAGAGAGGGAGGGAGACAACTCATAAGAGACTCTTAACTACAGAGAACAAATTGAGGGGGGATGGGGGGATGGGGGAGAGGGGAAAGTAGGGGATGGGCATTGAGGAGGGCACTTGTTGGGACGAGCACTGGGTGTTGTATTAAGCCCAACTGGAATAAACTATATTAAAAAAAAATAATAATATGATTATGATATAAGAAAAAAAACCCACAGATTTTTGAAAGAATATTTTACTGCTCATTTAACTACATGTTTGTGTGTGTTGAAAGCTCTGCCCATCACTGCCACCCAATTATCCAGGCTGCTAGAACAGACCCCAGCATGTGCACGTGCTTGTGAAGGAGGGAAGTTGATCCATAGAGGTTCCAGAAGCTAAACACACAGCCCAGGAACTACATCCATCACTT